AGTAGAAAAACAAACTATAAAATAATTCACTGAGCCCACTTTGCACTGCCCCTTACTCCAAGGAAGCTAGATTGAGCTGTTTTTTTGCTGTTTCAGCCAGGTACATTTGAATCATATTGGTATAGGGAAAAGGCAACTACCTAGCAGAATTAATTTTGTTCCTTTTTAAGTAGTCATTTCAGTAGCTAATTCATGAGTTAACACACCAAGTTCAGTGTTGTTGGGTGGGGTCCTTATAAAGAATTCTGTCCCCAATGTTTGCTAAAGTAGCAAGGTATGCTGTTAGAAATTTGTTTAAGCAAAGTGTGGTGGAAAACTGAGGAAACCCCAGCTACTCATGAGGTGGAGGCAGGAAGATCATGAATCTGAGGCCAGAGGTTAATTGAGGCAAAGTTATCAAGACCCTATCTCAAAAACAAAGTGCAAACAAAAGCATTGTGGGTGTGGCTCAGCACTTGCTCAGCATGCTTAAAGCTCTGGCTTCAATCCCCAAGTACTGTAGTAGTAGTAATAATTCTATGCCTTTGTTATTGAAAGCCTACTACTTAGCATACTTCCAATCAAAACATTTCTTTAGTCTCATATTCTAAAATGAATCCAAGTTAGGATAGTAGCTACAAACTGGCTTAGTTTGTAATACTTTACATAGTATTTTACAAATTACATTTTCATATAAATTATCTTATTGTTACCAAAATTGTGAAGGTAGTGGTATTTATAGCTAATGAAACTGAAGATTAAGGAGGTTGGAATTTATTTAAGATCAAACAAGTGGCAGAGCCAGAACTTGACTTCACTTGTAATGACTTCCCAGTGATCCATGTGACATCCAGACTCCGTATAAACTTCTCATGTTAATTTAGAAAATGTACTTATATCTTGAGAATTAGATAAAATCAGTATTTCTTCCATTTCACAGATGAAAAAAACTGTGGTTCAGGTTGTGACTTGTCTATAACCATCGATATTAGTAAGTAGCAGAGCTAGCTACACTTAAACTCAGCACTCTTCATACTGTCAAAAGAACGTATGATCCCATTTCAGATATTTACTTTTGCAACTTGCCTCTTTCCTTCCTCTATTTTTTTAACCTTGGCTACAAAGAAACTAGAAGCCAGATATTTTCTTAACAATAGCAACTGTATTGCATTTTATTGCTGGCGTGTCTTTAGCCCAGTTTTCCCTTTTGGGTCCCAGTTTAGTGAATTTTTTTTTTCTTTTGTTCAGCTTCCTCAAATCCTTTTTTGGAAAAAAAAATGAAGCGTGGCTAAATTGCAAAATATATCTAGGGCTTCTCCAGAAAAATAATAAGGATGATTTCCCTACTTAACTCTGATCATACCTTCTTACAATAAGTTACCTTTTTGGATATCAGCTCCTTAGAGGTGGGATTTATTTAATTAGTGATGGCTTACCTATCTAATGAGAGGTAGATTTCAATTTGAGCCCTTTCATGTGTTATGGAGCATAACAATTTATTTGAAAGTTTTTTTTCTCTATTCTACTTATATACTCTGGCTTAAATGCCACAATATCTTCACAGTGAACTTTTCTGTTAGTTATTACTTGATTCAGATTAGGAATTTAGAAAGCAGTGAAGTAAAATAAGCTGTTTTGGGAAAGAATAATGCAAGGACAGTGTGCAAAGAGACCCAGTATGTACTGGAAACTGCTAAACTTGGTATATATAGTTAAGGAAGCAAGGAAGTTTAGATAGCAGTGCTAAAGAAAATGAAGTCAGTATTGATATATCCCAAAATTATACTTGTCATTACCTGATGACCAGTTAGATATAGGGCAAGTGGGAGAGGGAGATGTTAGTTTCAAATCTATGTAACAGGAAGAGTACTGGATTTCTTAATGGAAATAGGAAGGAAACAGAAGCAAGTTGATTTATTGGAAGATAATGATTTGATATTTAAATAAAGGAATCTGAAGTGATAACTGAATAATTAAATGATAAATAGGTATAAGATAAGTCATTACATGTAAGTGATGTTTAAATCTTAGTAGATAAAAGATTCACAGTGAAGTAACATGAACATTCTTGAGAACCTGCCGAGCACTACCATAGTACTGCACATATATTTTCCCCCACAGCCATTCATAGAGGAATGCTTAAGGAAAATAAGGCACTGAGAGATTAAAGTGACTTCTTCATAGACACACAAGTAGAAAAGCAGCATGCTAGTGTTCAAATCTAGGCATCTGACTATAGAGTCAGTGTTTTGAACACATTATCCTACCTTTTGCAATCACAGAGAGATAAAGAGAGAAAACAGATGTCTGAGTATTAAATTTTAGGAATGCCCACCAAAAGCACAAAAACAAAACAAAACCCCCCAAATCACTAAAACAAGTAAAATTAAAAACAGAGAGAAATGTTTCTTGTAGATCAGCTGCTTCCAAATGCTTCAGAGAAGTCTCTTTCATAAAATCATAGCATTTAAGGACTCATAAAAGACATCCCCTGACCTGGAAAGTTAAATAATTTCCTCAAGGTCACAGAACTAAGAAAAAGACCTAAGTCAAGCTCAAATTTTGACTTTATTTTTTTAATTCAATGATATTATCACAAAAACATTCTAGTTATATGTGTATTTATAAAGATATAGACATTTAAAAAAGTGGGGGTGAGACCATGGAGAGACTATGAATCCACACTAATTGCAAAAATAACACTTTACCAGACCTTCCATTTTGTGACATTTTCTTCCTATTTCAGTCTGTTCTTCTCTACACTTTGCTATATGATTTCTACAAAGATTCCATTGTTTAAGGTTTATAAGCTTCTAATTCTTAGTTGCTTTTAGCTATCATTAAAAAGGACATATATATGAATATTAAACATTTACAGTCTATAAATTCTAAGGTAGCATTAACAATAAGACAAGAAAACCTGAAATCTGGATTTTTTTTTAAAGGGGGACTTTTGCTGGGTCTTAGGGAAAAGTAATATTAAGACAAAATAAGTGGACATTCTTAACGTGAGAAATAAAGATACAGAAGTGTTGAGGAAAAAACAGTGGTTAAAAGATATAAAAATTAAGAAATTATTGGACTGGGGATGTATGCAGCACAGTGGTACAGTACCTGCCCAGGGTGACAGAAATGTTTACAGAGTGAACATTCTACTTCTCTTTATATATGTAACTTTATTACATGGTTTTGGTTGAAAACTTTTTTTAAGAAGTGAGTTATAAAACAAATTCAATCCTAAAATATGCATTTAAAAAATTAACATGGGGGTTGGGGATATAGTAGTGGTACTACACTTGCCTAGCATTGGTGAGGACCTGGGTTTGATCCCAGCACTGCAAAACACAAACAAACAAAATATAGTCTTTATGCCATTATCTTGGGAAAGGCTGCAGTAATCATTTTTTCTGAGGGAACTAAACTAAATCTATTTATTAAGATTTTTACTTTTGTTTTGTTTTTGCCATGCTGAGGTTTGAACTCAGAGCCTTGTGCTTGCTAGGCAGGTGCTCTACCACTTGAGCCACTCTTCCAGCCTGAAAGTTTTTACTTTTGATAGCGAAAGCTTTCATTCTTTCCAAACAAAACTATACTTCTAATCCCCAAAACAGAGCTGCTCTGCTTACTACCCTTGTCCCTCCTGGGGCCCATATACACCTCTGAAATCTTAAGGCTCTTAAAACACTTGTCTAAGCAATTAAGAGGGCTCTGTCTGCCTCTCTTTTAGGATTGTTTTTTGTTACAATTGTCATTTACTTTGGGTCACTGTTACCTGCACTAAAGATTTTTTGCTTATAATGAAGAGAAATTTTAGATTTCATGAGGTCAGCACAGGTATGTTTCCCTAGCTTGAATTCTTAAATGGCTATTATTTGCCAGATTCATACTATGTGGTAAGGATTTATACACATTGTCTATTCTCTGAAAAATCTGTGGCGTAGATGGGATCCCCATTTTAGAGATGAAGAAATCGAGCCTCTGAAAGGTTGAATAACTTGCACTGTATCATATGGCTAACAAATGGCAAAGCCAGGATAAGAAACTTAAGTAATCTCAGGTACTCAAGAGGCAGAGGTCAAGAGGATTGTGATTTGAAGCCAGCCTGGGCAAATAGTTCTCAAAAAAATCCATCCCAAAAAAGGGCTGGTAGAGTGGCTCAAGGTGTATGCCCTGAATTCAAACCCCAGTACCACAAAAAAAAGAAACTTAAGTCTATCAAACCTAAAGCCCATGTTTTAGTTAACAAACCTTATAGAACAATGCTTGATAGTGAGGACTCTTAAGTGCCTTTTAAATAATATTCATGCATTCCTCATGACAAGCCTCTAAATATGCTGTTATTATTATTGAGGAAAAAAAATTAAGTAATTTACCTGTGCTCTATTTACCATATCCCTTTCCAAATTGCAAATAAGATCAGCTAAACTTGGGAACCTCAATTAAAATTTTTTAACCCAACACATTCCAAAGTTAAGAATTATGTATTATTTTGGGCTAACCATATTACCTTTCCTAAACTTTGAAATAGTATTTTAGAAATAAACACCCTGACAACCTGGAAAGTTGCTTCAGTTCTATTTCCCATCTGAAATAATTTTATTAATTGCCTTTAATGATCCACGCAATCAGTCACTTTATAGTTATACTACCTTATCTGGACATGTTTTGTTGTTGTTGTTTTTAAATTGGTAACTTAGATTTATTTCAGATTTAGGAATAGCTTTTTTTGTATGTGTGTGGGACCAGGATTTGGACTGAGGGCTTCATGATTTCAAAGCAGGTGCTCTACCACTTGAGCTACACCTTCTGTCCATTTTGCTTAGTTATTTTGCAGATGTGGTCTCTTGAACAACTTGCCTGCACTTTGTTCTCTTGATCTCAGCCTCCAAAGTAGCTAGGATTACAGGCATGAGTCACCAGCGCCCTGTAGAAACAGCTGTTATTAACTTACAATTTTTGTGCCTAATTTTACTAAATTTTAAAATCTTACTAATATTCTAAAAGTAAGTTTTCCACTATAGGTTATGGCCATTGCACCAACCCACTATATCTGGCAACGAGAACGCTCTGTGCATCACAGTGGAGCTGTCAGAAACTACAACAGAGATGAAGTTCAACTGCCACGAGGACCTAGTGCTACACCAGTAGATTGTTCACTCTGTGGTAAAAAAGGAAGATATGTGAGACTGGGATTGTCTTCATCTTCATCTTCATCCAGTGAAACAGCAGAGGTGATGGAATCACACAGTTCATTAACAATGGACATAATAGGTGATCCTTCTCAAGCTTATAGCTATGCTCAAGGTATGATTTAGTGTTAAGACAGAATTAGATTTATGCAGATTATTTATTGAGCTCTAGTCAGACCTTACAGGCAGGGATATATTATAATTTATATACTATGAGTTAAATTAGTATTGAAAGTTTTCTCCCTTTCAGTTAATTAGCCACTTTGTCTTGTGTCCATACCTTTTTTAATACATGTTAAATTGAAACCTAATACACAACATCTTCAGTATTAGAGCTTGAACCACTTCTTTGAAATGTTCATTTTATTCAAGAAGGATTTCAAGAAGAAAATAAATTTACTTGTAATCTCACCATCCAACTATTGGTTTCTTTCTATACTTTTCTATTCCTAACAAAATTAGAACCATACTATATCTAGGCCAGCTTTTTTTTTTCATTTATAATAAAGCATTCTCCCGTGTCATTATTTAGTCTTTTGACAGTACAGTTTGAACTCAGGGCCTAGTGTTTGTCAGGCTGGCACCCTATCACTTGAGCCACACCCTCAACTCTGTGAAAATAGTATAAGTGCCATAAGTTATTTACATATTTCATTTTTGGGGGAATTTAAGTACTTCAAACAATGGTGAGATGGGCGTCTTGCTAACTTTTTGCCAGGATTGGTTTTGAATCAGGAACCTCCCAATCTCTGCCTTCCAAGTAACTGGATTACAGGTGTTAACCATGCTCCTGGTCTCAAACAATGGTGTATTAATTAGAAGGTAATCGTATTAACTAGAAACACAACCATACCATAATTTTCAATTTTTTTTTTTTTTTGGTGGGCCTGGTGTTTGAACTCAGTGCTGCACAACTTGCAAAGCAGATACTCTACAGCTTGAGCCACACCTCCAGTCCCCCCTCAATTTTTTTGGTGATACTGGGGTTTGAATTAAGGGCTTCATGCTTGCTAGGCAGGCACTCTTCCACTTGAGCCACTCTTCCAGCCCTTTTTTTGTGTGTATTTTTGGGTATTTTCAAGATAGGGTTTCTCAAACTATTTGCCAGGGTTGGCGTGGAACCACAATCCTCCTGATCTCAGCTTCCTGAATAGCTGGGATTACAGGCATGAACTGCCAGTGCCCAGCTCAAATTATTTTTATATATAGATTTCTCTGACCTTTTTTCTTTTTTTGGCATTACTGGGGTTTGAATTCAGGGCTTCACATTTGCTTGGCAGGCACTCTTGGCCTTTTTGCTCTCGTTACTTTGGAGATATGGTCTTGCTTTTAGCCTGGACTGGCCTGAATCCCCTATGCCTAATTTATACTTCCTACTGTAGTTGGAATGACAGGTATGCACCAATATACCCAGCTTTTTTCTGTTGAAATGCAGTCTCTCCAATTTTTTTGCCCTGGCTGACCTCAAACTACAATCTTCCTGATCTCAGCTTCCTGAGTAGCTTGGATTTAAAGGTATGAGCCACCAGTACCCACTTCTGACATTTGTTTTCCAGATTTAAAACTATACTAGACTAATATTCCATAATAATGATCCTTTTTATATCTTATAAAGTCTTCTAAGTTTTCACCCATCTGAAGACTGACAGATTTCTTGAGTTTTTCTAACTATCATGAGAAATTAGCAAACCTGCATTATTTTAGAAATTTACTGTAATATTTTTGTAAATATTTATTTTTGAAGAATTTATTTTTGCCACATTCTTATGAGAGTGACTACTGAAGCTTTAGTAAAGAAGAAACTTGACTCTAAACTCTTGAATGTAAACGTTAAGCCTCCGTACCACCTGTTCCATTCCCTGACCATAGTAATCACTTAGCAATTTGACTAGCAGTCTTTTCTTCCCTTTCAACATCTCTAGGCATACTTTTTGTTGTTTCACTCACATTTGAAGATAAATAGGGCCCACCACAAGCTAAATTATACATAAGAATTGCCTTTTAACATCCCTTCTCTATTTCCCAGCACCTTTTACTTTTACATTCTTAGATCCTCAGAATAGGTAAGATTTACTGGATGCTTAAATGTCCCAAGGCAATATAGTAAGCATTTTAAATTTGTAGTATCATTTAATATTCACAGCCAACTGTAAGGTAAATAGTATTCCCTCCACAGGGCAGATAAGGAAACTGAAGCTTAGAGAGGCTAAATAATTTGCCCAAGGTGAGTATGGTAATATGTAAATCCAAGTCTCTTGCTCGAGAATGGAGGCTGAATTCCCAGCTATTAGGCTCTGCTGTCGCCTTTATGAACTCCCACCTTTAGCAGTGAGAACAAGCGGCTAGGGAAGTGGGGAGAATGTTATTAACCAAGTCTCTGCTGAAAAGGTGCATGGAGTGAGTTGGGAGTAATTTTCAACAATTTGAACAGACATTCATAGAAAGCAGAACAGAAAAAGTTGTATTTTATTCAAATTAGCCTCTATAGGTATCTACTGTAGTATACTCTACATTCTATGTCATAACATCTTAACGGGGAATTGGAGTCCAGCCAGGGAGTAAAGGGCTCTGCCAGTCAAGTGTGCTTTGAACAAAATCAGGTCTTTGAGGGATTGTGGATGAAAGTAGTGTATTGACTTAGGGGAGCTGTAGAAGGAACAGGGCTTTCATCTTGTTCCTGGATGAAATTCCAGATTTAGGATTTACAGATCCTACATAGGAAGAAACAAGTATTTATCCATCAGTTTTTATACACTTAACTTAGCCAAAAAGCTGAGAAGCGATCATCACTGTTTTTATTCTGAGTATTAAGGTTAACTGTAAAGCCCTCTGACTGTGTCAAAGGGTAGGCAATACAAAGAAAAATGACTGATCACACACGTATTTAACCAGTATAAATCTACATTCATTTTGTTAGTGATCTGACTGTGGAGGAAGTTAGGAATGTAGTGGGTGGGACACAAATTACCAGGAGAAGGCTCATTCGTTCCAATAGTGACCTCTGCCAGCAACATTTTCTTCCTATAGTCCTCATAAGGTTGGAGTCACCTGATGGTTTGTAGTTGCAGAAAATTCAATCCAGCATTCTCCAAGAGAAAGGAGACACAAGAGCTGATACTCTGCTCCAGATTTTTATGCTAAAACTTAACACAGTTATCCATGCCTCCATCTTTCTTTTAAATGAAAGAAAGCAACATCTTAATTTTCAAGTAAAAACATTTTTCTACCTTTAAAGATTTTTTTCTTGGCTAGGTGTGGTGGTGTATACCTGTAATCCCAGCTACCTGGGAGGTAGAAATAGGTGGATCGCAGTTTCAGGCCAACCCAGGCAAAAAATGCTAGTGAGACCACATCTGAACAAACAAACTGGGCATGGTAGTACATACTTGTAATCCCAGCTATGCAGGAGGCAGAGGTAGGAGGAACCAGAGGTGGGCCCAAGAGGTAGGCCTTAGGCAAAAGCAGGAGATACTATGTGAAAAATAAAGTGAAGCAAAAAGAGATAGGGCTGGCTCAAGTGGTAGAGTGTTTGCTAAGGGCTGGCAGAATGGCCCAAGTGGTAGAGTGCCTGCCTAGAGTGCTTGCCTAATAAGCTCAATGCCCTGAGTTCAAACTCTAGTACTGCCAGCTGAGTGCTGGTGGCTTATGCCTATAATCCTAGCTACTCAGGAGGCAGAGATCAGGAAGATCATGGTTCTAAGCCAGCCCCAGGAAAATAGTTCTTGAAATCCTATCTTGAAAATACCCAACACAAAAAAAGGGCTGGCAGAGTGGTTCAACTGGTAGCATGCCTGCCTAGCAAGTGTGAGACCAAGTTCAAATCCCAGTACCCGCCCCCCCAAAAAAAAAACAACTCTAGTACTGCCAAAAAATTAAACAAACATGTATATGACATGTAAGAACAAAAATGACTTTCAATATGACAAGGTGAACATACTATGAAAACATTTCACTTTGGGGAGGACAGATGAGACACTATAAATTACATAAAATACACTTCACAATCATCAGTCTTGTGCTAGGCTCTTTATAAAGGTAATCCATGTAAACCCAATCACAAGAAATCCTGAAATGACATAATACTATGATGAAAAAACAACTCAGAAAATTCATACAATTATCAAGTACAACAACAAAACAAGATGGGAACCCAGTTCTATCTGAATACATAACACTTTTTTTTTCCTAAATTTACACTCCCAACCTCCACATTTTTTTTTTTTAAAGTGCTACTAGGGTTTGAACTCAGGGCCGTACACGTGGTAGGCAGGTGTTCTGCCACTTCAGCCATGCCTCCAGCCCTCACAGCACATTTTTATACTAAACTACTGTTTCTCTTTATGCTGCCTTAAGCCTCATGACACTTAGGTTACTGCAATTGAAACATGTTATATATTATCTGAGAAGCCCTGAAACTTTAAAGCCTAGGGGGAAAAATATACCAAACCTTAGCCCTGTTGGAGGCAGCCCAGAACATTCCAACTGTTAGATAACCTATAACCAAATAATTTTTTCTCAAAAATAAATGCTTTTTGAACTTTCTTATTTTTGTCATCACCACTGTTCTAGTTATCCAGGTTTAAAATGCTTACAATTAATAAAAAGATAATCAGAGCTGAGATAACTTAGTGATAAGAGGGCATGCTTAGAATGCCCTGGGCAGACACAGTAGCTCACATCTGTAATCCAATCTACTTGGGAAGCAGATATCAGGAGGATTGTAGCCCAAGGCCAGTCTGAGCAAAAGGTGTGAGACCCTATGGAAAAAAAACCTTCAGTAAAAAAGGCTGAAGATGTGGCTCAAGTAGCATAGAGTTTGCCTAACAAGTGCAAGACCCTGAGTTCACACTGCCACCCCCTCTCCCGCTCCAAAATAGAATGCATGAGGCTGTGGGTTTAAACCCCAGCACAAAAGAAAAAAGAAAGAAAGAAAAGAAATGAAAAAGCCAGGTGGTGTGGCTCAAGTGGTAGAGCACCTGCCTAGCAAGTACAAGACCCTGAGTTCAACCACCAGCACTGCCAAAAAAAAGTTTCTGAATAGCAGACACAAACTGAAACTACCTAGATTCTCTCCACTACATTCACTAAATCAGTAGTTTATCTGGTTCTTCTTTCACAATAATTTTTACAACTGCCCCTTTTCCATTATTAATCACTTCATATGCATATTACTATGAAATCTGACTTAACAGGTTTTTTAATACTTGTAGAAACCACTAGAAGATTACCTTTATTAAAGTATCTCCTTTATATGACCATAGAACTTTCAGAAGCTCCCACTGAAATAGTAAGTTCAAAATCAAAGTCTTCCACAATCCAAGAGCAACATGTCTAAACTCCCCCTAGAACAACCAAATTAACAGATGAAACAATACATTATCCAATTTAGGCTTAAAGCAATCAGCAAACTTACAGCTCATACTGGATGCAAAATGTGGTGCAAGGCCTCTGGAAAGCAATGGGAAAACAGCTTTGTCCCAAATCACTAAGAGTTTACAATATGACATATGAGAGTAGAGATGGACGTAGAAAACTAACAGTAGAAGGCATCTGCACCATCTGGTGTGCTGATGCATGCCTGTATGCCAATACTCAAAAGACTGAGGGAGCCTGGTGCTGGTAGCTCACGCTTGTAATCCTAGCTACTACAGAGGGCAGAGATCAGGAGGATCATAGTTTGAAGCCATAGTTCGAGAGACCCTACCTCAAAAATACCCAACACAAAAAGGGGGTGGTGGATGGTAAGAGTGGCTCACTCAAGTGAAGCCCTGAGTTCAAATTCTAGTACCGCCGAGGGGTAAAAAAAAAGACTGGGGGAGGAGGATTGTGAGTTAGAGGCTGGTCTGAGCTACATCGGCCTGACCTGGGCTACATAAAGAATGCCCAATCTATGAGACCCTGTCTCAAAAAGAAAAAAGGCATCCGTTCTGTAAACCAGACTGCCAACATACTTAAGGGTTCAGAGGAAGTCTGCCAATGGCCTTAAACTGAGGCTTGATTAACTGAATAAACAAGTGTGTATTTACTTGGTCTTCAACTCAACTTAAAATGAGAATGGAGCTGGGCTCTGGTGGCTCATGCCTATAATCCTAGCTACTTGGGAGATAGAAATTAGGAGGATCACAATTGGAGGCCCGCTATGGCAAATAGTTCACGAGAACCTATCTCAAGGGCTGGTGGAGTGGCTCACTCACGTGGTAGAGCACCTACCTAGCAGGTGCAAGGCCCCGAGTTCTAACCCCAGTAGTACAAAAAATTAATTAAATAAAATGAGAATGGACACTGTGTTAGGTCTCTTTCAATTCATCATCTGCTGAACACAGTGCGCTGACCAGAAATTAAGTATTCCACATGAAGTAGAGCTAAAGGGCAGAACTTTCCTTTCTCTTAATCCAGCCCTTTCTCCAAGTAGACAATTAGGACCTGACACATACTGACCATTTGAAACTGTAGTTATTGCCAGTCATGGTGGTGCACACTTACAATCCCAGTTATTTGGGGAGTAGAGATTGGGAGGCTCATGGATGGAGGCCAATCCAGGCAAAAAGTTAGCAAGATCCCATCTCAGCCAATAAGCTGAGCATGGTGGCATGTGCCTGTCATCCCAATTATGCGGGAAGCCAACCTGGGCAGAACCTGAAAAATAACTCCACAAGAAAGGGCTGGGGCATGACTCAAAGTGGTAGAGTGCCTACCTAGCAGGCATGAGCCCCTGAGTTCAACCCCCATTACCACCAAAAAAAACACAAACCACTATAGTTACCCAGAAACATAGCGTCAGAATATTCTGCTCCATATCCAATTAGTTGTCTAATGTAGCCAGTGATTTTTTCTTCCACACACATCTAAGCATGTTGCCCTTTACTTAACTCCTTCAGTGGCACTGCAGTCTTCTTACTGGATAGATAAACCCCTTAAAAGACCTGTAAGATCCTATGTACTTTTCCAGTCACCTGCACTTGACTCTATAGCTGGCCTTTTTTGTTCTCATTTTTCCTTGCTTAGACCATTCAGGTCTCAGCTCAAGTGCTACTGCTAAAGCAAAACCCCTATTATGGCTACTCACAGTACCCTGGAGCACATACAACAGTTTTTGTCTTATATTTGTGTGACTGTATAATGTCCAGCTCTGTTATAGACTGTAATTCTGTAAAAGCAGAAATTTTTAGGTTAAAAGTCTTCAAATTCTGTAAAATGCAATAAATAATAATTTTTATACACACAAATTTTAAATAGTTCAAGACTAAGAGATAAATCCAAGAATAGCAGTACTTATCTGCCCAGACATTGCTACTTTAATACCTATAAAACATCTATATTTAAACAACCTAATCACTCTAAGCTGCAGTTTATTTTATCCATAAAATATAGATAACCTTAAAGATAGTTGCAAATATTGAAAAACAAAGTTCTTTAAACAATATATGGTACATAGCAAATACAAAATAACTAGTACCTATTACTATTAATTCATGTTTCTAAAGTGTATTTCTCCAAACATTTGATTTATGTAAAATGATTCTAATGTTCTTTCAAGCTGGTTAAAAAGATTCTGAGAGGGATAAAAGAGATATAAGAATTATTGCAGCCAGGCACCAGTGGCTCACACCTGTAATCCTAGCTACCCAGGAGGCAGAGATCAGGAGAATCAAGGTTTGAAGCCAGGCCAGGCAAATAGTTTTCAAGACCCTATCTCAAAAATACCCCACACAAAAAAGGATTGGCAGTTGTAGCTCAAGAGGTAAAGCACCTGCCTAGCAAACATGTAGTCCTGAGTTCAAACCCTAGCATCAAAAAGGAAAAAAAAAGAATTGTTACAAGTGCAAGACCCTGAGTTCAATCCCTAGTACCACCAAAAGCTGGGCATGATGGTGCATGCCTGTACTCCAACACACGTCAGGCTGAGGTAAATTCAGGGCCATCCTGGGTTACATAATGAGACCCTGTCTTGATACCCCCCCAAAAATTGTTACATTGATAGACTGCATGCTTAGCATGTACAAGGCTCAAGGTCCTAGGTTCAATACCTAGAACCAAACAAAAAAAATTTTTGTTACATTTTTTTGTTATAATTTTAAAGATGACTATCAAAGTTCTGCATTCAAAACCCTAGTACCACCAAAAAAAAATTTTAAGGTGAACATACCATTCTCATCAGTTTTCCCCTCCTATTTACTATAGCTCAGATCTCATTATTTTTCAGATACATACAAGCCATTAATATGTGTACTTAAAATATATGGATACATAAAATTTATCTGAAAATGCATATTTTATTCCAGTAGCCAATGACCAACAATCAAATACAGGAAAAAAAACTAATTTCATGAAGAAAGACAAATCTATGGAGTGGTTTACAGGAAGTGAAGAATGAGACGAGATGACTCAACTAAAGCAACTTGGAATCATTAGCTACAAAATATCAAACTGAATGCAAGACAATGTCAAAATGGGACATTTAAGCAGCTTTGCCATGTTACACATCTTTCTTTAGCTTTTGTTATTTTTCAAATTTATGTGTAAAGTTATACAAATCATAGTAATAGCTGAAAATACCAATTTATGAAAGTAGTGATTTGGAATATTAAGTTCTAACTTGATACTTTTCCATCTTCACATTGGTTGGTGTCATCTGGGGCACTCAGTTAAGCTGTTGTTTGAACTTCCTCAACTTGACAAGAAAAGCTGATTTAAGACAGGAAAAAAGTTAGATCATTACATTACGTTAATTAGAAGAAAAAATTCAATTTAATATGACCTGAAAACATTACTCACCTGTATGACCAGCTTGCCAGTGTACAGGTCTAGCAATATAGGGAAATGATCCATAGGGAAAGTCAGAATGTGGTTCCCCTAGTGTAGAACAGAATACGTACTATAAGCTTCATAAAATGTTATTTTGTTCTCAAAAGCTGTTAAAAATATTACTGCCACTTCACTGAAGTTTTTCTCTTACTTTTTTTTTAAGCATTTGTTTTGGAGCTACTCTGTCAGTTGTTGTACAAAAAAAAATTTGAAGATGATTACACAGTAACCTTACTATGGACAAGCCCATACCATAAATCAATAGATACCTGAAGACTCTTTCATGGCCTGCATAATGTGTACACATACACAAGAACCTAACCTCAGTTCTTTGAAGAAGCTTAACAGCATTTTAGAAATTGCTTTTTACTATGTTAGGGATTTGCATATCAGGTCCTGTTAAATTTACTCCCTTCAGTAATAATAACTAATCTATATTTAAAACATTCTTTAGTGTATTTAAATTATTTCACAAAGCAAGCTCACAATGATGAATAAACTATGAATCTTTTACAAAGCTCAATTCTTCAAAAATATCAGAATTTTACATAAAAGGTAGGGAAAATCATTATTCTGTCCCTTATTTTAATTTAACAGAATAAATAATTTCAATTTCTATAGGAAAAACTCCGAGGAATATTTTTATCATCTATTGATCAATGCATTCAGGAATTTGCTATTTGTTACCTAAACACATGCATAAAATAAAATTGAAGCTCACCATAGTTGTCATCTTGAAACATTTCGCCTTCAACTCTAATTTCCTGCTGAGAATATAACTGTAAATCTGTACTGATTTTAGGTTCCACTTTTTGAGGTAAAATTCCATTTTTCTGTTTTGCAAGGCAAACCAACCAATCTCTGACAATGACCTCACTTATCTTTTCACATGAGAGATCAAGTTCACAGATGCGAATTCCATCTAAAAGTTCAATAACCTGTGTGATGCTTTTGGAAAAATGAAAAATGTACTTTACATTTCTACTAAAATACCTCTATATTTATTTCAAGTTCACTGTATCTCTTACCCAAATTTAAATGCTGTTACACAAATTTAGATGTCATATTTAAATCAAGGGGAAGAGATTAAAAATGCAAGTTAGGGCATATACTAAGTAATTTCACAACTACGCAAAAAAAAAAACCCAGAGACCATTATATAACAATTACTGTTCACATTACACTTGTAAAGCATTTCTTCCAAATTGTCAGAAGAAACATTCATCTTATATCACTATATAAAGAATGATATAAGCAGCAATATAACTGAATTTGAGACGTGTCATAAGTTTTACGAGATGACATATATACCTTACTCAGTTACAAAATGAACATTTTAACCTAATCTGTAGGCAAAATGAAAGCATATTTTAAAACCACATTTCAGAGAAAAGCAGGCAGAGGAGTAGCCCAGTGGTAGAGTACTGCCTAGCATATGAAAGGCTCTGGGTTTGATCCCTAGCACCAAAGAAACAAACAAAACAAAACAAAAAACCTACCAGCCTTATTACTCACTTTGCTAGGTACACAGCACAAACACCACCCTGTTTAAGATTTGGGTACAAAATAGGCAAAGCAACTTGAGGATTTAACATATCCAAAGCTACCTATGGGGTGGGAGAAAAGAACTGGATTAGTCTGATTCTGTTTCAAGTATGGGTTTTCTTCTATTGTCACTGTAGTAAAAATGGTACACTTTTAGAAAGCAGTTACCCAGTTATTTCATTTTTCTGAATATAGTACTACTAGCTATCACTTTATGTTTATAATTTGTCATAGTACTTGAAAAATCATAATGGTATGTCTTGCACTTGGTAATATTACTACTGGAATCTTTCTTTGGCTATGTTATTATACATGAATGTAGACTAAGATTCCTGTATTACCACAATTGACAAGTGCAAACATGCCATTATAACATAAAAAATTAGAACATATTTTAGGTCTTATGAATTTCTATTGATAAAATTTATAAACTGAAATGCTTTAGCTCAACTTTGACAATAGAAATTCAGATTATTTCAAATGTGTTTTAATGTTCAATGGAAAAGCTCTAAGTATTTCAAAGGTTCCGGTGGAGTCTATTTTCCAGGAGAGACCCCACCCCCACTATGGCCTAGCTATGGTGGAACTCTCAGGTCGACATTCTCTCTCTCTCTCTCTCTGTCTTGTTAAGGAGGGTTTATCCCTTGGGAAACTGAGGAAAAGCTCTGAGCCCACTACAGCTGTACGGCAAGCAATCTGAGGAAACTTGGACACCAGATGAGGGATTATTCTGTACTGCCAATGCTACATAGGTGGAACCCAACTTCAGTACACCGAGGCTTTTTTTCTTTTTTCCTCTCCTTAAATGGTAACTCTCTCTTTCAAGATCTGACCCACTTAAGAGGAGGTCTGAAAACAACTGGTGGAAATGAAAGTTTGTCTTCAAGCCACAAAAGGTGTTCTGGCTGGGGCACTCCCCCATGTCACCCAAAGGCTGGAGATGAAACTTCTTGACCTGCCCTGAGGGTCCAAAGGTGGCTAAGTCTCAGACCCCTCCAGCTATGTCTGCGGCAAACAGACAATCAGATCTCTTATGCTTCCTTCATTGTTTCCACAGCCCAAGAGTGGACGTCACCTCTTGCTTCCAGTGCTCCAGTACTGCCTTTGGGCAGGATCGGCCTGGACAGCAGGGATGACCAATAATCCCTCATGCGTTGAGCCTGGAAACTCTCTTTTCCCCCAACCCTCAGCCTCTCCTTCCCCTTTCCCAGGCAGTTCAGGGTGAATGTGCCCCTTCCCCCCACCCCTTTGCTCTAAATAGCAGTGAGCTTCTTTCTTCAGGGAGTTTGGGGAAAATCCCTACAGGCACCAGAAAGTGCTAGTCTCCAATTTAGGCCTAACTGTCTTTGTCAAGCATCAGGTTAACTGGTTAAACAGGTTCCGCAGCCTGCCCTCAGGGAAAGAAAAAAAAAAAAGTTAAAAGGCAAAAACCTCAGGTCTTTTCCTTACCCCCCTTACCGGAGCAAAAGCCTTCAGACACTCTCTCACTCTCTCTTTTCATAGAAAGCATGTATGCCTCACAGAATATATAGGGGTACAAAAGTCTACTTCATCAGGAGTCCCCATCCATATCTCTACATGGGTCCTCCTTCTGGCCATGCAAGTCCTCTTGGTTACTTTGATAGTTTGTTTTTTTTTTTTTAAATTACAAGCATTCAGCTGGTAGGCCTACCTGGGTCACAGGCAAACAGGCAAATCAAAATAGATGAGAGATTGGCCAAAGATCATCTCAGGGGGGGTGGGTGCAACTGAGATATCTGTAAATCCTCCACGACTTTACCCACAAGTGGCAGTGGAAGGAGCAAGGGAGAGCGGGATGCCCTCTCCCACTAGAGTTTCTCCTCATCTGGGGACGCCTAGATAAAAGGAGAAACCTCTGTTAAGGTGACAAATTTTCCCTTGTTTCCCTTTTTAGATGGGGAATCAAGCCTCAAGGATCCAGGAAGGATCCCTCCTTGCCTGCTTATTAAAACATTGGAAAGATCTTGATCCAGAAAGTCTTCAGCAAAAGTGACTCAAGTTTTACTGCACCCAGGCTTAGCCACAGTATCCTCTGGGAGATGAGGAAAGATGGCCAGAAGGAGGGAGCACTAATTATAATACCATTCTTCAATTAGATATGTTCTGTAAAAAGGAGGGAAAGTGGACCAAAGTTCCATATATTCAACTGTTCTTTTTCCTAAGAGACCACCCAGAATAGCCAAAGAAATGCAGGCTAGATACCCAGACCATGGTAACCCTTTGCAAAAAGCCCCCAAACTCCCTTGAACAAAAAAACCCATCTAATTCTCCATCAGCTCCCCCCTTCCCCCTTCCCCAGCTACCTCACACACCAGACATTGTCCCACAGGACTCTCCCCCTCCAGTTAATTCCTGGAGGGGACAGGGCTCAGGTTCCTTTTAGAGTGAGTGAACTTAAAGAAAGAAAAAAGGATTTAGGAAATTACATAGAAAACCCAGATCAGTACAATCAGGCATTTAGAGAAGTCAGCCAAAACTTTGAACTGAGCTGGAAAGACATAATGCTATTGCTATCTCAGACCCTCAGTTCTCTGGAGAAACAGCAGGTTCTAGAGCAGGCAGTCACAGCTGGAGACAATTATCACTTAGATAAAAGTGGCCTTACAGGCCTGACTCAGACTGGGCCCTCACAGGAGGAGGAGGGGGAGGGAGAAGAAAGACAAAGGCATTGGATACCTAAAAGGGAACCTCGATTCCTGATTCCAACAGGAGATCAGGCAGTACCTAGGTATGACCCTAAGTGGGACCCTGAAAAGGACAAGGATCAATGGAGTTGTAACCATTTCATCCACTGCATTCTTGAGGGACTAAGGAGAACCAAGGTAAAACCTCTTAATTACTCCCAAGTCACAGCTGTACAGCAAGGACCCTTAGAAACTCAAGTAGCTTTTCTACAGAGACTTAAGAATACTTTACAAAAGCATACGAACATTATACCAGAGTCATAGGAAGAGGAGATTGTCCTAAAAGATAAATTTCTAACACAGTCAGCACCAGATATCCATAAAAGGCTTCAGAAACTGGTGGCTGAAGGGATCAGGGATCTGGACCAATTGGTCCGTGTAGCCACATCTGTATATTATAACAGCGACTTAGAAAAAGAAAGGAAGGACCTGGAAAAGGAAATGAGAAAGGATAAGCGGCAGGAGGCTCTGATCGCAGCGCTCAGAGAGGCTTCCCCGGGGCAAAGTCCAAACCTGAGGACATGCTTTCAATGTGGACAGGCAGGCCATTTTAGGAGTGCCCCTGGAGAAAGCTACCTCTGGGACCCTGCCCCATTTGTTGGGGAAAACATTGGAAGGCCCACAGGGGAACTGAGGCCAGAGCCTCCCATCCAATGATGGGTCCCGGGGCCTCCCATTCAGGCTCCTGTGACCACCATAAAAGCAGGAGAGCCCCGGGTTTTACTCACGAGTGAAAAACACAAGGTCAGCCTCCTTATCAATACTGGAGCCAGCATCTCAGCTATTCCTTTCTCTCCCGGACCCAGGTCCTCCAAGAAAATTACTGTTCAAGGCATATCAGGCCAGCCTCTAGAGCATTATTTCACTCGGCCTTTAGCCTGATCCTGGGGAGAGTTCCATTTCTGTCACTCCTTTTTAATTGTCCCAGAAACCCCTACTCCTCTGCTAGGGCAAGACCTTCTATCTAAATTAGGAGTACAGCTCCTTTTACCCCCAGGAATGTAACTTTTGCTTGCCCCTAATAGAGGAACAGGTAGACCCGACGGTGTGAATGGATGGACACACTGTGGGACAGGCATGAACAGCTGTCCCAGTCCTAATTCATCTCAAGGACCCCTCCTGGTTTCCCCATCAAAAACAATATCCTTTAAAGCCAGGAGTTAAGGAGGGGCTAATTCCCATAATCAAGGACTTAAAGAGACAGGGACTGCTAATAGAATGCTCCAGCCCACATAATACTCCTATTCTCATGTCAGGAAGGGACCTAACAAATGCAGGCTACTCCAGGATCTCCGCCTGATCAATGAAGCAGTAGTGCCTCTCTACCCCGTAGTTCCAAATCCCTATATGCTTTTAGCCCAAATACCCCCGGGTATTGCTTACTACTCTGTCCTGGATTTAAAAGATGCCTTCTTTTGCATTCCCTTACACCCTAAAAGTCAACCTATCTTTGCCTTTGAGGACCCCATAAGAAAGTCTGGACAGGTCACTTGGACTGTCCTCCCACAGGGATTCAGAGACAGCCCCCACCTCTTTGGGTTAGCTCTAACCCAAGACGGCAGAATGGCAATATCCACAAGCTACTCTGCTACCATATGTAAATGACCTCCTACTCTGAACCAAATAAGCCTGTCATTTCATGAGCCACTGAGTCCTTACTAAACTTCTTAGCAGATAGAGGTTATAAAATCTCTAAAGAAAAAGCCCAATTGTGTCAGTCTAGGGTTACATATTTAGGTCTTGTACTGGAGAAAGAAATGAGGTCTCTAGGAGAAGACAGAATCTGTCCAATCCTGATGTTTCCTCTACCTAAAACTCAAAAACAATTGAGGGCCTTTTTGGAGGATCACAGGATACTGTAGAATTTGGATCCTGAGATATGCAGACCTAGCCAGGCCCTTATATCAAATCCTTAAGAAGCACAGAAGGATACCCAGCCCTTTATTGAATGGGATGACAAGTCAGAAAACGCATTCCACAGGTTAACAAAGGCTCTATGACAGCTCCTGCCCTGGGTCTCCCTGTACAAGTTTCAATTATATGTCTATGAAAAGGGAGGACTGGCTTTGGACATGGTCACTCAGCTCCAGGACATCACTCCCCAGCCAGTCTACTTAAGCAAAGAGTTAGATCAGGTAGCCAAGGCATGGCCACAATGCCTTAGAGCAATGGCTGTAGTAAGCCTACTAGTACCTGAAGCTCAGAAACTTATCCTAAACTGCCCCCTAATAGTTTATACCCCACACGACTTAGGGGGAATTTTAAACTCAAAAGGAGAACTTTGGTTATCTGACAGCCAGCTATTTAAATACCAGGCCCAGCTTCTGGGAGGGACAAAAATAACTTTAAGGACCTGT